AGTGTAATACCCTAGAAAAAAATTTAAAATATATGATTATGTAGAAATTCTTACCGTAAAGTGAAATGATGAAAATGTCCCTCGTTGAACAAACGTAATTTGACGATGACTTATTTTATCCTCATATATTTTGTCATGTTTCTTGACATATTTGGATAGAGGACAATACCACGAGCGTGTGGGTGAAAATCGTTCGTGAAATTGAGCTATAACGAAGAAGCTATAGGCAAGTAAATATAGGGACAAAATGGTCATTGTGCCTTGAATTTGGAAAACTCTAGCAAATCTGGAGCTTTGAGTTGAAGCCATGTGTGTGGCTGGGATGGAAAGGAAAGGAGGGAAAATGAGGGTGATGCAAAAAAAAGGGGGGGGGGGGAACGGGTCTCTTGACCCATGAAATCCGGTGGTCTCCCAACCAATTTCCAGTGAGTTGCAGCCACCCACCACCTGGAACCAACTCAACATCATCTCCTCTTCCTATTACACCTCAAAAATCAAGAGATTTGGCTTTGAATTTGGGAAAACAGCATCGGTGGGTGCGGTGGCTCTTGCTCGAGATCCACAAATTTTGAAATGATTTCATCCAATTAATACCACCATTAGACTCCCCTTGAGCCCCTGAACAAATCTCGAACATTGGTTGGGACGTCGGAGCGGTTTTGGAGTCGAATCAAGAACACCTAATTTAAGGGTTTCCGACATTTCGAGGCCTATTTGAGGTGTTTCTCAACCAAATTGGACTTTGGCTCAGGTATGAAAGTTTTTCCTCTCATTGAACTCTGCAAGCTTGTAAAATTTGGTAATTTTTAGAGTTCGTCAGAATTTGAAGTTTCTGTTCGCCGAAAACCGCCACGCGCGGAGGCACGTGGACAATGAGCTAGGCATCTATGTTGTGAGTGCATTATTTCAAAATTGTTGTGAATAAAGTGGTATTCATGTGATATATATATAGTTCTAAGATGTAGGATTAAATGAACACTCTCGTTACCCTACTTCGTACTATTGTGGTCAGATTGAAGTGAGGGTAATCGGCCGTGGGACCGGTCATCAAGTTGGATTATGTTGGCACCCGAGTTCTGAGAGAATCGTGGTGACGGATGTGTATAGCCAATAATGGTAAGTGATTTTATCATTGATTATGATTTGAAATTCCAATGATTTGGTGGGAATTTCTTATATTTGATTTGCCAATTTAAATGGTTTGGCTTGAAATTGTGATTTTTGTCAAGTCATGGATGATTATGGCTTGGTATTTTGGTATTTATTTGGCCGATGATTGTTACAGCTTGAACTTATGATATTTGTTTTGCCACAGATGAAAATGGCAATAATGGTAAGTGGTTTTACCAATAGTAGATGTGGCTTGAAATTCTGATATTTATTTTGCCAATAAGGGTTACGACTAAAATTTATGATATTTGTTTTGCTAATGATGAATATGGCAAAAAAAATTTGATGTTTGATATCGCCAGTGATTGTGGCTAGAAATTTTAAGGAAGAATTGTGGTAACGGCTACGTATAGTCAATGACGGTAAGTGGTTTTACCAATAATTGTGATTGGAAATTCCAATGATTTTGGTTGGAGTTTCTAATATTTGATTTGCCAATTCTAATGGTTTGGCTTGAGATTGTGATATTTATTTAGCCACCAATGATTATGGCTTTCGATTTTGATATCTATTTGGTCGACAATGGTTACAGCTGAGAATTTATGATAATTCTTTTGCCAATGATGAATATGGCAATGATGGTAAGTGGTTTACCAATGATTGTGATATTTATTTTGCCAATGTGAATTATGGCTTGATGTGAAATTTATTTTGCCAATGTGTATGGCTAAAATTTTCAATATCTATTCTACCAATGAGCGTGCTAGGAAACCTGAGTATAAATGATTACCTTGTGGAAGTATTTATTTCTGGGGCTTGAATAAAATCGTAAACTGAGATTATGATTTTATTCACTATAAATAGAACGGTGAAATTAGCTTTAATTCCTTTTTCTTTATTCAAGGGTAGAAATCTCGAGACGAGATTTATTTTAAAGGGGGACGAATGTAATACCCTAGAAAAAAATGTAAAAAATATATGATTATGTAGAAATTCTTACCGGAAAGTGAAACGACGAAAATGTCCCTTGTTGAATAAACGTAATTTGACAATGACATATTTTATTCTCATATATTTGTCATGTTTCTTGACATATTTGGATAAAGGACAATACCATGAGCGTGTGGACGAAAACCATTCATGAAATGAAGCTATAACGAAGAAGTTATAGACTAGTAAATATAGAGACAAAATGATCATTGTGCCTTGAATCTTGAAAACTCCAGCAAATCTGGAGCTTTGAATTGAAGCCACGTGTGTGGTTGGGATGGAAAGGAAATGAGGGAAAATGAGGGTGATCCCAATCGGATGAGAGAACAAGGAGGGAAAGGAGAAAAAAAAATAGGGATGGGGAAACGAGTCTCTTGACCCGTGTGACCCAAACCAACGGGAGCAATGAAATCCGATGGTCTCTCGGCCAATTTCCAGCTAGTTGCAGCCACCCACCACCTAGAACCAACTCAACATCATCTCTTATTTCCTATTATTACACCCCAAAAATCAAGAGATTTGGCTTTGAATTTGGGAAAACAGCACCGGTGGATGCAGTGGTTATTGCCCGAGATCTACAAATTTTGAAATGATTTCATCCAATTAATACCACCATTAGACTCCCCTTGATCCCCTAAACAAAGCCCAAGCATTGGTTGGGACGTCATAACGGTTTTGGAGTCGAATCAAGAACACCCAATTTAAGGGTTTACGGGGGTTCGAGGTCTATTTGAGGTGTTTCCCGGCCGAATTGGACTTCAACTCAGGTATGAAAGTTGTTCATCTCATTGAACTCTACAACCCTGTAAAATTTGGTAATTTTTAGAGTTCGTCGGAATTTGGAGTTTTCGTTGGCTGAAAACCGCCACGTGCAGCGGCAAATGGACAGTGAGTCGACGCTGCCTTTCTAAGCTAATTTCGATATTCTAAATCTATGTTTGATATGCAATTGGTGTGAATCACTTTTTTGAACTTAGTTAGTGATTGTTAGTCACTTGAATGATTTTGGAAATGAGTTAAAGATTGAATTTGTGAACTACGAATAGCTTGATCCCTTCGTAGGGTACGTGGGCAGTCTAACGAAGAGGTTAGATGCAGCCATAATAAAATAACTGAGATTTAATCTTTTCTTGGAAATTGTCTAAGAAAAGGAATTTGGTGATTATCTTCCAAAATAAACTTTGGGCCTATTTTAGTATTTGCTTCCAAATATAAATTTTCGGGTCATTACAATGAGGTTCATGAAACCTAGAGCTTGGAGCTTGCAGACGATGGCGGAGCCGATAAGGCCACTGTTGCAGCATGAAAGGGAGAAATGGAGAGAGAATATAGGAGGGAATGCGAGAGAGAGGGGTTGGTTGGTGGTTCTGGGTTTAGGCATGTCAAGAGAGAAAGGGGTGGGATGGTGGTTTTGGCTTCTGGGGAAGGAAGGAGACAGTTGGGGTGAGTGTTGTGCTGGGTTTTTTTTTTTTAATTTTTTTATAAATAATTTTTAATAATTATTATTAGTTGTTTGACCATTGACACAAGTTGATTGCCACATCATCACTTAACAGTTAATTTGACAGATTAATTAACGAAAGTATGACATTGCAACAAATTCATAAATTCAAGTATAACATTGCAATGTTTAAAATATGAGACATGAGATTGTGATGCGATCCAAAATTAAAGTAGTTTTGTGTAATTTATCTTTTTCTTTAATTCCAGTTGTATGTTGTATAAGAATATAGCATAGATCGTGGCGGAGGTAGTTGTGGTCAAACTCCTTTCGCAACTACAACAATAAAAGTCTTTAACTGACTCAGATCCCAGTCTCCTTATGGATTTTTTTTTCAACTCGATTTCATGGTAATGGTCAATCTAATATTGGCTCATTGGTTTGGATTGACCGACTACCTCTTAATCCAAGGTGTTGGACCATGATGGCCTCTCGTAAACCAAGGTGTTGGATCATTCCTACAATCGTGGCTCGGACATAGACGATGAATTTGGGTCATGTTAAGAGCTTTCCTTAAACCGGGTTCTTGATTGGTATCCCTCATCACGTGTCTTTTTAGTCAATCGTTAACTAATGAACAAGACAACATCGGGTTAAAACCAACTACTAAGAGAGCATCACATGTGCCCTAATTAAATGAATCATCATCAAGCTCATGTACATTATTATATAAAGACATGTTCATTCCAAAAAAAAAAAAAATGTAACTATTCTTTAGCCAAAGAACGCATAACTTGTGATTCATCTTCCTCATTTTAGTCTAACTTAGGTATCCAAGGGGCTTTAATTCATACCACGCCTGTGTGACAATCTTAACTGTCTTTCAAATTGGTTGCAAAGACACCATAGTAATTCTATGCTTGTGTAGAATTCGTTTCCCACAATAACAACGGTTATTAAAAAAAAATTCTAAAAAAACAACAAAAACAACAATTTCGATCACAACTTTGTTGAAGAATGCCATTCCACATCTAAAAAGTGATAGAATAAATTTTAATGGTTCTGCTCCTTATTGCAAAGAGGCATTTTGACAAAACTCAACACTTGTTGGGCAGACCGGTGGTTAAGTTGGGATAGGTAGTGTGGTGGAGTCACTCGTTGGCCCGACTTTGAAATGTTGATATTGTGTCAAAGTGGGTTCCCTCAGAACTAATTGTTTTAAATGTGAACAAGATCCTGAACTGGTGAAGAATCTTATGATGCTTGAGAAGAAAAATGAGGCCATCGAAGTAGAATTGGTTGCACATGCGGCTTACTAAAGTTTGGTCACACATGATGGGGATGTGAAGAATCTCACATTGGACTTCACATAACAAATTACAACTTATATAAACAAAATAAGTCACACTAAATGTAATCCCACTTGCAAGTATTTTGTTATAAATTTCAAAGCATGATGAGCTGTGTAAGTGGTTAAATTGAGATAATATCAATGTAATTAATAATCGACAACTTACTTGACTCTTAAAACTTGACAAACTTTGTCATAAACCATAATCAACTACAAAGTAAAGAAGTACATTCTTACCCTCTATGTACATATTCAATTTCTTCATTGACATCCTAATCAACCTTAGCTTACCGTTATTAGAAACTTGGTCTCCCTAACATTATCCATAATCAAAGACCTTAGCAAGCCTAAACCATTATGGTTATAATACAACCTAAAATACACACCTTGTTTGTTCCATTGCTAAAGAAGAAGCACTTGTGCTGAAGGGTATGCTGTAACAAGTGAAAATTTACCCACATCTGCATGTAAGTATTTCCAAAGGAGGAAAATAAGGGTGTGTTTTTTTGACACCCCTAGCTCTCACTAGACTAGACTGGACTAACAGCTAGTGTAGTCCAGCATTTGGCAAAGCAAAGGATTAGCTTTAATGACGCTAGCTCGGACTCGCCTCGACTACGGGCCTCACTAGATGTCGTTAGCTAATCCCAACCAAAAGCATGGTATTAGCTAGGACTAGATGGCGCTGCTTGCTTCTCGCCAAATCCGTCTCAAGCAACCTTCTTCAGTGACCGTAGCCCCCCACGACCTAAAATCTTAGAATCTGGTGACCACCAATATTTTGATTACCACTCACGGAGTTGGACATGAAAAGAGGCAAAGGGAAGAGAGAGAGAGGGATTTAAACGGAAAAACAAAGGGAAGTGAGAGAGGAAGCTGAACAGGAAAACTCACCATGGCTGCCATTGAATTGGCGATACTAAGCTTGAGAGGGAGGGGTTGGGGTTTTTTGGGGGAAGGCATGTCTCCATTTTTTGTGATTTTAATTCGTACCATCTGTGCAACAGAGGGAGAAAAGGAGTGAAGAAACTTGGATACACAGAGGGAGGAAAGGATTAGAGGTTAGATGGAGAGGGGAGAGAGACGGCGGAGAAAAAAATGAGAGGTTAGATGAAAGATGATTCCTGGATGGTTCTAGAAAATAGGAAAAAGATAAATTAATAACACAATATTAATAAATATACATTAAGTTAATAATAAAATATTATAGATATATATTAAATAATATAATATTAGAGTCCTACTTCTTAGTCAAACATTACACTAAACGTTTCACTAAATCAGTTTAATGTAGACTAGTCTAAGCTAGTCTAGCTTAATCCCTGAAGCTAGTCTAGTCCGAGATAGTCCGGTGCAACAAACGCACCCTAATAGATAACCTGGAAGAAGGGGAAGAAGAAATCATGAATGCTCCGGCTTGAACATAAGCTGCCTTCCTCACCTCACCCCCATTTGGGGGTATGGTATGGAAAGCGACCGCCGGGAAGAGACTGACCAAAATAAGAGGCGAACCACCATCACACATTCACCTTCGACCTCCCTTGGATTAGATAAGTGAGCTCCTTCCACGTGTCAAGGTCATAGTGGTGCATGGTGATAAGGCTTGCATTCAAATTGTTCCTCTGCTTCATGTGGTCTATATGCTGTAATGTCATCATTTACACCATCTAACGGTCCGTGTTTGCTGGTAAAATGTTCATGGAATCAGTACCGTAGGATATGACATTGCTAGTCGGAGCACTATTTATAGGAAGGGAGAATAGAAGTTGTGCATCATTTAACCAAGAGAAGTAAAGCACTCTAGCAAAGAAGAGAAAGCAGAGAGAGAGAGCAATGGCTTCCTCCATGATTTCCTCCGCTACCGTGTCTACAGTTTACGCCGACCGTGCCGCCCCGGCTCAAGCCAGCATGGTTGCTCCATTCACTGGCCTCAAGTCGTCCTCAGCTTTCCCTGTCACCAGAAAGAGCAACGACATTACCTCTATTGCAAGCAATGGAGGAAGAGTGCAATGTATGCAGGTAAGAATTAATAGATGCTACTAAATTACCAATTCCATAAAATTGTGTTAGTGTTATAAACTTCTTATTTAAGTGTGATTGTGTAAATCTTATATTAGATTTGATTCTAAGGGAATGATTTCTTCTCTCTCTTATTACTATAAATAAAGTCAGAAGGAATAACATATGCTCTATACAACCCTACAAACACATCTATGTCTATATTTTCTTTGTGTCGCCGGCCCTCTCTCCTTATCAGTTAACTATAGGCCACAGTTAGTACATTTATTTTACATTTGAAAGCAATAGTAACCAAATACATTTTCAATAATTAATTAGTACAAAAGTTATTACATTATCTGTCGATATATAATAAATTATTATTAACAGTTTAATAAATTAACATATCAAACTAATAAATATGCTTGCAAATTATAGAATTTATTTCCAAATTACTTATATGTATTTTTGTTTAACTTGGCCGAAATAATACTAATATTTGTGTAGTTTTTTGGCCAACAAAAAGGTACTAGCCGAAGTACAATGAATTTATCAAATATATTTTCATGAAAACAGGTGTGGCCTCCACTTGGATTGAAGAAGTTCGAGACCCTCTCTTACCTTCCTCCTCTCTCTTCCGAGTCCTTGGCCAAGGAAGTTGATTACCTCCTCCGCAAAAACTGGGTTCCCTGCTTGGAATTTGAGTTGGAGGTTAATAACTTCTAACATTATATATACATTTATTTGTAATTTGTTAAGTTAATTGTTTCCTAACTTAATCATGTTGAACAAAATTGTGGTATGTATATATAGCATGGATTTGTGTACCGTGAGAACCACAAATCCCCAGGATACTACGATGGAAGGTACTGGACAATGTGGAAGCTGCCCATGTTCGGATGCACCGACTCTTCTCAGGTGTTGAAGGAGCTGGAGGAGGCCAAGAAGGCCTATCCCAACGCCTTCATCCGTATCATCGGATTCGACAACGTCCGCCAAGTGCAGTGCATCAGTTTCATCGCCTACAAGCCTGCAGGCTACTAAGTTGTTGTTGTTGTTGTTATTCATGTTTCATCATGTTTCTTCGTCGTAATTAATATTGTTGTTGTACGTACCATTGTGGCTCTTAGCCAAGGGTTTCGGTGGTTTGTTTAAGTTTGTCCTTGATTAGGGTTTCAAGACCTTTGTCAATTTGTTTCTTTAATTTTCTTTCCCTTTTCGAGGCAATCTCTTTTGTTTTCGAATTTGGTGTTTTAACGGATTCAGGATGATGTTTATTGAGAAATTCATGAAATAAATTATATCCTTATTTTATTTTTATTTGTAGAGATAATGTATTTATATATTGATCACATCTCTCACACGCATACACTAACATGTATATAAATCTTGCTATTTATGAAGATTGTTTAGCAATGTGATTCGTAAATAATATACAATTTTTTTTTATTGTTTTACTATTAGTATTTTCTTCGAGTCTTATTGTTTTAGTATTACAAATTACAAATTCAAACGTTCTTTTCAAACACAACTCATCAAGTGGTTAAAAGTTAAAACCCAAAGTTTGAAGAAATAAAATAGACTGAAAGACACATGACAGAAATTTGGCTGCTTTCAAAATTTTCCTCCGAGATTGGTTTAATCACCTCGAATAAATAGCTTGATAATGCAATGTGCCAATCGGCTTTTTTTGTGCTAATTAAATTCATTTGAACATACATTTATGCAACGAAGTTATTCAATTTTTTTTTCTTCTAATTTTTCAACTGGTTGGGAAGGGAAAACACGTAAGAGATGTATATTAGGTTGTAAAACAGTCCCCTTGTAGATGGTTTAATTAAGAGCCACAAATGCTATAGCATATTTTGTTAATTGAGCAGCTGGTATTGTTTGTATCCTCCATCATTTGATAGCTACACTTATGGACATGTATTTGTTCAGATAAACAAACGGATAAGCTGCTTTTTTTTTCAAAGTTGCAGCAGTAAAAACAAAGTGCATTTGATGCCGCGTCTTAGACTCTCGGACCCCTCACACTACTAGTTGTTTTTGCTGTTTTTCGGCTGTTTGCCTCTCTGTGGGCTTTCTGGCATCTTTATCCTGGTTTTATTGAATCCAATTTATCAAATAAATAAATAAATAAATAAATCTAAGTGCATTCATATTCCTGCAGTTAATTGCTCAAGGCTGAAAGCACTTTTGGGTCGCTGTTTGAGTGCTTTTGTAGTATTACTCATGTCCACAAGCAAAAGAAATTATGCTACGGATTAGTTAGTGAGGCTAGCTTCCAACGGCTTTTTGGTTTCTCTATAAGTAACAAGGCTGGATATAATTAGGGGAATGCTAGAGAGACTAAACTTTATAAACTAAAAGACATGAAAGTTGATGCTATATTATTACTTAAGTGTTGATTAACATGCTCATTTCTAATTAGTGATACATCATTTAGTTTGCAAATTTAGTCTATAAATTTAGTCTTTCTAGCATTACTCTTATAATTATATTCCGCCTAGTCATATGCCATAATTATCGATGCTATTAAGAATCCCTTGTCTAACCACCACGGGGTGGCTAGTGGTAGTGGTTGGGGATGAATTCTAAATCCGTATTCCACATGACACGTCCTGGATTTGATTCATGATACTGGTGACTCACACGATAGTGGTCAAAGAGATGCTGGAATGCTTTTATGAGTCTTCCCGATCCCCGAAAAAAGTAATCTACTATAAGAAAGCCGCCAACTAATCCTTTTTTAGTATAAAAATAATAATTAAGGATCCCCTTGTCTTGGGGATCTTAAATGGTGTTCATCGTCACGTCTCCCCAAGTCAAGTGATTAACTTAGAGGGCAGGATAACAAGTTTCACCCCCACCGATAAGAGCACACTATGTGTACCGTCGTGCGCAACCATCATACTCAAACCCTATTGGTACAAAGAGACATGGTAACCATTCCTTTGCTAGGAAACTCTAAAAACTCTTGAATTCTTATTCATCTCCTGAGCCTAACTTAAGTGAGAGATCTTAAGATTAAATCTCAAAAACTTTTTATCAGGAGCTTTTGGCTCACACCACATTGGGATAAAAAATGTCTAACCGATTTTGGCTGTAGAAATAGCAAAGTTGTATTTCTACAGCTTGAGCAACGAACGATCAAACATATTTGAGGAGATTAAAATATACGATCAATCAAACCAACAAATAGAAAATAACCTCTACGTGTGAGTAAGAAGTATTAGGTTCAACCATCATGGATAACAAATTCAACATAAGTCGAGCATAGCAAGCACGTTGAAAAATAGGCATTTGCGAGATGCCTTTCTTAGATACAGGCAAGACCAAGATAAAGCATAGCCGGCAAATATAGAAGTACCGACAATTACCAGAACACATTTATCCCCAAAAATATAACCAAAATACATTTACAGATTAATAGACCAAACTAAATCACAATTAAGCTTTTATACACTCTTCCTGGTGATTGCCAGAAAAATTATGACCCATCTTACATTACAACAGAGCAAAGGCTTTAGACATATACAAACCCCTTCTCCATAACACAAGGTTTGACAGTTCGACACTCTTTTCGTGATGTTCCCATCAAACTACTTGCAGATATTAGCAACTGAGATGATCATCAACAACAACTTACGCTATATACAGTACTAGTAGATCTCAATTTCTCAAAAAATTGTCAAAATTCACTCTTCTTGTTAAGTCCGCTGTACTCGTGAGCTGTGGTGGCATTTAGCTTTCCTTCTTATATGTACACTTACTTCGATTAAGTTTAGGCAAATGCTGGGATGCGGGAACTTTGGCGATCCCTATTGAGACAGTCAAATCCCTCTACTCTAACTGCAGCAGGTTTAAGCCCATACTTCATTCTAACACAACCTGCTTTGCGTGGCGATGATAAAGCTGATGGAGATGGAACAGGCAATGCTGAAACAGGAGTGAGCTTCTCATCTCCAAATCGGGCATCTTGAATTAAAGGGTTAGCAGCCCTACTAGGAGGGGAAACACCGCAAAAATATGGGGGCGATATGGCAACCTCGTTAGATGATTGCTCCAACCCATAACCCTCCTGTAGATACCAAAATGTTAGCCAATCATAATATCATAACATCGAGTACAAAACAACACCACCA